AAGTAAGACACGGTATTGCCAAAAAGGGGAAAATTTTAGATACTCCATAATATATTTACAAAGGCACGATAGAACAGCCCAAAATTAAAAAAAAATATACATAAGGAAAAACTGGAAAAAGAACTAAGGCATCTACGCCTGGTCTTCGCTGGGGTTCGACTCGTCGCCAGAACCACCGAAGCCCTCGGAACCCTCAGAGCCTTCGGGACCCTCAGGCTTGTAGAGCTCCTTTGCCTCGGCCTCGAGTCTCCTAGCTTCCTGAATCTAGGTCGATAGATCAAAACGTCATGCGTGGATCTCTTCAAGGGTCCCTCTTCAGGATAGCCACTTTATGTACTCAGTCTTCATCTTTAAGCGAGTCTCGGCTACCTCCACATCGGCCTTATACTAGACCAATATTTCCTTGGCATCAAAAGAGGTTGCATCCAATTTAGACCTCAGTACGACATATTCTTGTCCGAGGGAATCCCGTCCAGTGAGGGCCGAGCTCAGTTGTGGCCGGAGATCATCATTTAGCCGAGACCATTTATCGACTTTATCCTTCGCCACCCGGAGTTGGTTCTCGGAAGATGTCAGCTCCGCTATTGCTGCTTCTTTCTCTGAAGCCAGCAGGTCCATCCTTCCCTTCCACACCTCAGTCGTGGCCTTGACCTCATCCATCTCAGCCCGAAGCTGGTCGATCAGGTCTATCATCTCTTGGGCCTGTGAAGTTGTGTTGTTTGTCACCACGGCTAGCTGCTCGTTTTTAGCCTCAAAGATCTTTACCTTCTTAACTAGGTCGGCTTGTTCCCGCTTCAGGGTCAAGGCCTCCTTCTAAGCTTTTTCCAGCTCACCCCGGAGAATCAGGAGGTCTTTGAGCGCCTCGTCTTGCTGCTCACCTAAGAGCCCTATACATGTCCTTCTTCCAGACCAGCTCTTTAAGTTCGAATTCGAGCTGGCTAATCTCCAAGCATTACCGGAGGAAGCTTTCATGGATAAGCACTGAAGCCTGAAAAATAATGAGGTTAGTATAGCACGTTAAAAACCCAAATTGAGATTCACAAAAGGGTACAAAGGGCTGACGCCTTACCTAGTTCAGCTCCTATTGCGCCTCATTGAAGAGGCTCGACGTACCCACTTCGTTCATCTTTTCCTGGTCCTCCTCAGTCACCAGGCATCGAAGGTAGATAGCTACGCCCACCGGAGCAGACAGGACACGGGCATCCTCCAGTATTGTACGAATAACCATTCTCTTGCGCTCGGGGTCCACACTCGGAGTGGGAAATTGCTTCAGTAGTTTTGGGCTCGAACTCAGCCCGCTTGCTCCCAATGGCACATCCTTCTTTGGGACCTCTAGGTGACCAAGCCCGGAAAAATCCTCTAGTGCGGCCATATCCATGCTGTCGAAGAACATCTTAAGGGCGTCGCGTGGGCCTTGCACCATCTCGCTTGACTTCTCTTTGCCCCCTTGGGCCTCTTCGAGCATGGACTCGGTATAGGAGGGTGTCTCCATGATGTCAATGACACCGGCTGCCTCCTTCGAACAGGAGGGGCTTCCCGGGTGGTCGCAACCTCCGTCTCTCCTTCTGGTTCCCAGGTTAGAGGGGGATCGACCTTGTGGTCCTCTTTCCCGGTTGTTTCATGCTCCTTCTCGTCAAGGGTCGACCTATAAGCAATAAAGAGGTCATCATCCTCGGGCTCTTCCCTGAGCCGGTAGAGGGAATCGGAGTCTGGTACCTGGACTTGGTGCTCTTCTTGGTTTTCCAGACTCGGATGGTCACTTTTTTCTTCTTCGCCTCGGCATCCGGGGAACCCGAGGACTCTCTTTTCTTCTTCTTCTTCTTCTCCTCCTTTGCGGGACTTTGTGTTGTTCCGAAGTGGAGGGTTCAGCAGGCAAAGACGGATCCTCGTCCTCACCCAATAGCCTGAGTTCGGTGGTCTTGGGCAAACCTCTAAGAAAGAAGGAAATTTAGCAATACGTAAGCTAAAAGTACAAAAGTAACTATTCGGAAAAGGACCTCACCATGGGAACGGGCCTCCCAATTGCCATTCGAGATATTGCGCCATGTGGCATGCGCGCTTGGAATATGGAATCTGTTTGCTAATCCCCTCAATCAACTCCTTGAAGCGGGGAACTGTATTAGGAACTTGGGCATCAGCTGCACAACGACAAACATAGGCAATTAGAGAAAGGACAAAAAGAAATGACAAATACTCGAGAAGGATAGCACTTACGGGATGCGTTTCACTTCTCAGAGAACGGCAGAAACTCGGAAGGGATGAGTTCTTCGGTTTTAACCCGAACAAACCTCCCCTGCAGTCCTTGATCTCGGTCCTTGTCGATGCTCGAGAACGGAGCCTTGCTTGCTCAGCGGGCGAGCTTGATAAGCCCCCCTCAAAAGATTCAGGGATTGTATAGGCGAAGTAGGTAGTCGAGGGTGAACCGAGGGGCTTCAGTATTGTTCACGAAATGACGCAAAAGGATCACGATCCTCCAAAAGGACGGGTGGATTTTCCCTCGGCATACCTCGTACCTTTTGCAAAAAGCAAGGACTATGGGGTCCACCGGGGCGAGCGTGAAGGGGTTGTAAACACTTAAATACCCCTCCACATGAGTAGTGATTTCGTCATTGGGCCCGGGGACGACCTCATCTTTACCTCCCCAATTACAATCCGCTCGGACTTAGGGTAAAGTTTCCTCAGTAATAGAGAATATGTATCTCCATGCTCCCTCACCTCGATCCTGTTGGTTAGAGGCCTTCTCGACATTGAAGTCGCTCCCGATGGAGTAGCCCCCAAGTACGAAGCTCTTCATGGGGGGCTTCTGAGCCACCTCGGGAATGGACACCTCGGCATCTGTAGCCGGGTGGGAAGATAAAGGAGCAGCCTGTTGAGGCACCGACTTGGAGGTTTTTTCCATCGTAATTTGGGAAGTATGAAGGTCTGAAGAAAAATATGAAGGTTTGAAGGAAAATCTAAAGATTTGAAGATGGTATGAAGGTATGAAGGTCTGGGTTGAGGATCCAAAGAAAATGTATGAGGATTGAAGATGAAGATATGAAGGTTTAAGGAACGATGTATGAAGATTTGGAGGAGTTAAAAGCAATTAGAGAGTTCGAGGGTAAATTCTAGAATTGGAAAGTGGAAGAAGTGAAAAAGGGTCGAAGCTTTTATAGAGGAAAAACAATCAATGTGCGACATTTCACATTCGAGGATAGTCAACCGATGACTGACACGTGTCCGAAGTCAGAACTACGCGACTGATGGAATGTTTCGAGTTACCCGTCGTTTCGGTTGTAACGTACGAAGGAAGGAACCGGGGTTCATCTATCACTTCCCGTCATTTCGCTAAACCTACTCTCCGGAAAACGAGGGGACTCTCTGTGTACGGGTAAAATCGGGGGTAATGTCTACCCTGATTCCCTAGTGAGAAAACGAAAAAAGGGCATGGAAGCACGAGATTGTAATCGAGGTTAGGGACCCCTCGTATCGAGACCCAAGAGGAGTGAACGATGTGCTCGTCATCGGGTAAGATAAAGCAACACGCCCCGGGCAAGAATGAGTTCTAAGACCTCGGGGAACACGGTAAATGGTTATACACAACGGATAGAAGGTCGTGATATTCGCACCCAACCAGATATCACGGCACGAATCTCGCTCGATGTATCAGTAATTGACAAGAAAGGAAGATTTTTACCTTTTTTAAACTTATACCAAGGATGAAACTCTCCTGCTATATAAAGGGGAAGTTTTTCTTTTGTAACACTCATTGTAACAGGCAAACTAAAGCAATACAAATTTACTTTTTGCCTCTTAGCTACTGCAAAAATTGTTATTCAATTATTCTGTTCCCGTTCATAGTTGGGCTCGAACCGAGGGTACAATCGAGGACGAGGTCACTCCTCCATCTAAGTTCGGGCTTGGCCATAATATCATAACTGGTTTGATCGTTTATTTAGTCTTTAATTCGTTTATCTAATATTCTTTACTACTCGTGTTGAATTAAACCACGTCTCCTTAAAACCACGTATAAATTTAATTGTTATCCGATTTAGGGGGAACTAATATTAATTAATTCTCCATGGATCTCTCCTTAAATTGGCTAATATTTGGGCATTAATCTAACCAGGGAGCACCGAGATGCTAGCTTAGTTTTTCATAGGTAAGCTCTTGTTCCTAGCAAGCTAACTATCTGGTTAGACAGAGATTAGCGTTTCATTAATTTTTAATATATCAATTGATTTGGTTAGGAATTTAGAATGGAAAATAGTGGAACAGGGGAAGAATTTTAACTTCTAGGCTTACACCATTAGGTTAAAGTGACCTACAACATATAACTATCTATAATGAACCTAATTTTGTAGCCAAGAAAATAAAGTACATCACCAACTGTAATGGTTTGAAGATACAAAAGGGGAAGTAAGAAGCTCAAATTATCCTGCATAAAAAAAGATACTATATATTCCTATTAATTTTGAAAATATGTGATTCAAATTGATGCCCTTACATAACGTACTTTAAATGGCCTCTCTGACTTATTTATGCATGTATATGCCAGGCAAAAACTACAAAAGACAAAAAACAAAACAAATTATCAGAACAATTGCGAATTTTTCTAAATTTATTAAAGCTATTAGTTGAAATCTTCATGAAAATGATTTTCTTCAAAACCTTCATATTTCAAAACAGTGTCAAGTTTAGAGATGGCTATTATTATCTTCAATCTGTAAAAAGTTCAATAGTCAAGATTATATTATAGCGTCAATATAATCATTCACAATTTTCAAACTCCTAATCATCTCTATGTTTTGTTGGCTTAAGTAGAAGTTACTTTTGTATGACTTCACAACCCTGCAATGTATTTGGGTGCAAGATTAGGGATCGGCCTACCAATCATAATTGTATTTTTGATGTTCAAATTCAAAAGGAGGCTTGTGTCCATGTATGATATGATTGAAGGTTTTCTGCAGACACAAAACAATTTTATTCCAATCAGATATAATTATTAAAACATAAAGAGAATGACCAGAGGGTTCGAAGAGAAATTAGGCGAGGGAGGTTATGGAAAAGTATATAAAGGAAAGCTTCGCAGTGGCAGGGATGTAGCAGTGAAAATGTTGAGCAAGCCTAAAGCTGGTGGTGGTCAAGATTTCATGAATGAAGTAGCTACCATTGGAAGGATTCATCATGTGAATGTAGTTGGACTCGTCGGGTATTGTGTTCAGACAACAGAGCGCGCTCTTGTTTACGATTTCATGCCCAATGGATCACTTGATAAGTACATCACCAATCAAGAAGGGAGTCCTGTGTTATGTTAGCAGAGAAAGTATGAAATTGTTGTTGGAGTGGCTCGAGGAATTGAGTATTTGCATCGTCACATACGAATTTTGCACTTTGACATAAAGCCTCACAACATTCTTTTGGATGAGAATTTCATCCCAAAGATTTCTGACTTTGGACTTGCTAAACAATATCCAACGGATAATAGCATTGTGACTCTTACAGCAGAAGCATTGGAGCAATCTCTTATAAAGCTGATGTTTACAGCTTCGGGATGCTTCTAATGGAAATGTTGGAGTTGAAGAGAAATGTAGTTGCAAATGAAGAAAATTCTAGTCAATATTTTCTTTCTTGGATTTATAATAAGTTCAACAAAGGGAAGGAAATTGTGGTGGATGAAGCAAATGAAGATGAAAAGAAGATAAGTAGAAAGATGACTATAGTTGCATTATGGTGTGTTGCGTTTTTATTAAGGGGTGTGAATGGGAAATGGAAGAGGCACCTTTTAGATTGCACCTCTCCGTATCATCCTTCCTTTTTCTATAAATTTAGAGGCTTGGCCTCATTTTTAGACATGAAATCAGATATGGAAAATCTGAAAGCTTCTCCCCTCTTTTCTACATTATATTTTCTAAATAAATATAAGTGTCAAGTGTGATTTGCTCCGTTTGTTGAGTTCGCTGAAGTTCTGTGATTTGAAGTGTCGCTATCACATAATAGTTATTCTGTTCTATCCTGGGAGGAATTAATCCGTATACCTTGGGCAACAGTGAGGGGATTAAATTCCTTAAGGACACATTGAGCATTCAGTGGGCTCGAAACTATTTTACGATTTGTTTATTGAACTAACGTTTGTTTGCTTCTATAATTTTCTGATTTTTGAACACAAAAATACCAGAAATCTTAAGGAATTTAATTTTTTTGTGTTCGTCTTAACATCTTTTTGTTGGAGACAGAAAGAAGAAAGACTCAAAACGTCATGGAAATGACAAAGTCGGAAACAGTGTTATAGCATTTCAATATAGTGTCATGCAATTTTAGAGAAGAATATTTTAGTATTCAAAGATGGGAATGCTTCGAATGAAACAAGTTCAGATAAGTACAAAACTTTTTGTTCTTGAAATTTTCTGGAATGCCTTTGATATGTTCGAATCTGAATTTGGCAAATTTTATGTTTCTTGATTTGTTTCTTTCTAGCATTATAAATTGGTAATTGCTGGAGTATTTCGTCAAACATATCATTCACATATAATCAAATAATGACTATGTGATTTAAAATATTCTTAGTAAACACATTTGTGTATACTCATTTGGATCTAATTGTGAAATGGTGCATTCAACCATCCGCACCTATTGGGTCAGATTATAATGGCACAACATTTCTTGCCTTGGAAAACGTTGGTTGTGATTTGCTCTAGAAAAGCCATGTAACAAGGAAGAAAATTTTTGCTTCTGATATATACGACATCCAATAGTACGCATGATCTAATGGGTCCTACCCATGGAAAAATACATATTTCTTATAACTATGAAGGAAATAGAAGTGATATATGTATGGTCAATTTGGTGTGGCTTGTCAGATATCAAGCAGAAAATATTCATCGGTTCTTCGTTAACTGTTTGGGGTGGAAGGCCTTGAAAAACCTTGAATATTTTCATGTAAGCTTACATTAATACTTGAAGTATTTTTGAGATCATAAATATAATATATGTAAAGATGAACATATATGTGTTTGATTAGAGAAAGAGATCAAATTGTTTAAAGTGTTATAATGGTTTAGTTGGAAAACCATTTGGAAAGGGAATTAAAATTCTCGAGATTTTCTACACCCGTTATGGAGAATAAAATCTTCGTGATTTTCTACTCCTACTTCGAGATCAAAATCTGCATGATTTTGTACTCGTTCGTTGAGATTAAAGTCTTCGTGACTTTCTACTCATTTGTCGGAAATTAAAGTCTAAGTGACTTTATACTCGTTTTGGAGATTCAAATCTTAGTGATTTTCTACTCCAATTTATTATTCGGTTTGAAGATTAAAAACTTTACCGTTTATTAAATTTGATTGTGTCACATATTATTCGGTTTGAAGATTAAAAACTTCACCGTGTATTAGATCCGGTATCAGGTATTACTCGGTTAGAAGATTAAAAACTTCACCATTTACTAATTCTGATGGTGTCAGATTGGTTTGAAGATTAAAAACTTCACCATTTATTCTGGCTCTGTTAATGACACAAACAACAGTTCATGTGGTTGGCTCTACAAAGCAATAGAGGCGGCGTTTGAAGAAATATGTTTGGAATATGGCATTATTCACCAAACGACTGTCCCTTCATTAGCGCAATCTAATGGAATTGCGGAAAGAATGAGTAGAACGTTAAATGAGACGATGAATGCCTTGTTGATAAGTTCTGGTTTACCCCAGAACTTGTGGGGGGAAAGTTATTTTTCCAAATAACTGTATACTCAGTCAAGTTCCCCATAGCAAGACGCAATCCATTCCATATGAAAAATGGAATGGANTTAGGCGCCATCATGACCTATATGGAAAATAGGGTCGTGACACAATCCATTCCATATGAAAAATGGAATGGAAGGAAGCACAACTTAAATATTTTAAAGTGTGGGAGTACTTAGCTAAAGTGCAAATTCCTAAACCCAAAGGGGCAAAGATCGGACCTAAAATTATTGATCGCGTTTTCGTAGGATATGCAACAAATAGTAAGGCATATCGTTTTCTGGTTCATAAATCAGAAAATCCCGACATTCATATTAATACGGTAATCGGATCAGATAATGCTGAATTCTTTGAGAATATTTATCCGTATAAAAAGGAATGTGAGTCGTCTAGTGAAATATCTAAACAAACTCGGGAAGAAGCAAAGGAAAGTACGTTGAATTAGTAAAATCCAAGACGTAATAAACGTCAAAGGATAACTACTTCCTTTGGACCGGATTTTCTGACATTCGTGTTGGAAGATGAGCCTCAAATTTTTAAAGAAAAATTGTCTTCCTCGGAAGCACAATATTGGAAAGAGGCAGTCGATAGTGAAATAGAATCCATATTAAGTAATCATACTTGGAAATTGGTTGATCTTCCTCCAGGAAATAAACCTTTGGATTCTAAGTGGATTTTCAGAAGAAAAATGAAAGGTGATGGTACTATTGACAAATATAAGGCAAGATTGATAGCCAAAGGATTAAGACAACGAGAAGGTCTTGATTAATTTTACACATACTCACCGGCAACGAGAATTACATCTATTCGGATGGTAATAACGTTAGCCACCGTGTATGGCCTTGAAATCCATCAGATGGGCGTAAAAGACAGCCTTCTTAAATAGAGATATGGAGGAAGAAATTTATATGGAACAACATGAAGGGTTCGTGATTCCTGGAAAAGAAAGAAGGTGTGTCGGCTTGTTAAGTCACTTTACGGACTAAAATAAACACTCAAACAATGGGATGCGAAATTTGACTAGAAAATATCGTCAAATGGTTTCAAACTAGTGTATTTACATTAAGAATACTCTAAATTATGTAGTCATTGTTTGTATGGATTATATGTTGATAGAAAAGGCACATGAAACATGTGAAATGTGGGGGCATTTAACTTGTGCATAATAAAAGCTAATGTTAAGACGTGATGTATATATTATCTTGAAGAATTAGATAATATAATTCTTCGAACCCCACGAATCCTTAGGGACATTGATATAGTAGTTGGTAAATTCATCAGTTGTTTAGTCTTAATGAAGACTAGTTGATGAAACTACTAATTCGGAAGTTGGTCACGTGCCTTTCTCGAAAGGTCATTTTCTTTATTGAGAATTTATATTGTCACTTTGAAGGTTGTGACTTTTCACAGAAAAGATAAGTCTGTACGTTTTAGTATGGACATGACCGTTTATGAACGAATGTATTAATACGTTGGTCTATAATGAGGTGAACCAACCGATGAACATGACCAAAATCCATTGCAAGTTGGATTTGAATGGAGGTGCTATGATTTGTATATCATATAGGCGTATGAATAAATAACATACAAATGCTTGAAAATGACGGAGTGATTGATAAATGTGTTATATATTAAAAGATTGTGGTCACAACTGATGCCAATTATTCCAGTTGTTGTTATAATATACTATTACTATATTAAGTGTAGTCAATAATATGATATGCAATCGAAAGTCGAGACTTATTAGTCTACAACATAAGAAAGTTTGCATTTGAACTTTCATGACAATGAAACGAGTTTTGAAGTATTTGAAATATACTCCAAATTATGCTTTGCACTACAATAAGTATCCCGCGATAATATAGGTGTATAGTGATGCAAATTAGATCACCGGTTCAACCGATTCTAAACATCGGTAGAGGAGCGATGTCTTGGAAATCGTCCAAACAAATATGTATTGACCACTCTACACTGGAGGCTGAGATTATAGCCTTAGACAAGGCCGGTGAAGAAGCTGAATGACTCCGAAATTTCTTGGAAGATATTCCATTTTGGCCCAAACCTTTGGCACCTATATGTATACATTGTGATAGTCAAGCGGTAATAGGCAGGGCAGGGAGCTTTATGTATAATGGAAAATCTCGTCACATTCGACGGAGACACAACACCGTTAGACAACTACTCTCTAGTGGTGTTATCATGATTGACTACATAAAGTCGAGAGATAACGTATTGGATCCACTTACAAAAGGCCTATCTAGAGAGGCAGTTGAAAGATCATCGAAGGGAATGGGGCTAAGGCCTAGGATAAGTCATCATGGCGGTAACTCTACCTAGTAGACTGGAGATCCCAAGAGCTAGGTTCAAAGAGATCAAACAAAGTTATAAATGACGGTTCAACATTGTCAAATAACTCAACCCATTCTCGTGATGAAGACAATGTTGAGAAATCAAGGTAAAGCATTAAGGTTTTTTGATGAGTCAATAAAGCTTAAAGCTTTTTAATGATTTTCTAAGTCTGGCAGGATATGACCAGATAGTGTGTCTATAGGATTACACGTTTAGAAATCACCTATGTGAGTGTTAAGTGTAAGCCGCTTTAAGGGGAATGAAAGTAAAGGCCCATTCTCTAAGCACTCATGAAACCAGGCGGTGTTCATGGCTGAAACGAACACAACCGTGAGAACCAAGGACGGTTAAGGGTTAATTGTGTGACTTATGGTTGTCTAGGTATACACCAAAGTTCGACGGTTCAAAGATATCAAATCTACCGATTGACCGAGTATATCAGACATAAGTTCACTACGGAAAGTTCAAAGGGAAACCTACTTATCCAGATGCGAATAATCCTTATTTGTGAATCACACAGTATTTTCATGCATGTTTTTCCTCATATGACCATTCCCCATTCATGTGGGGGATTGTTGCGTTTTTATTAAGGGGTGTGAATGGGAAATAGAAGAGGCACCTTTTAGATTGCACCTCTCCATATCACCCTTCCTTTGTCTATAAATTTAGAGGCTTGGACTCATTTTTAGACATGAAATCATACATGGAAAATCTGAAATCTTCTCCCCTCTTTTCTACATTGTTGCATTATTTTCTAAATAAATATAAGTGTCAAGTGTGATTTGCTCCGTTTGTTGAGTTCGCTGAAGTTCTGTGATTTGAAGTGCCGCTATCACAGAATAGTTATTCTGTTCTATCCTGGGAGGAATTAATCCGTATACCTTGGGCAACAGTGAGGGGATTAAATTCCTTAAGGACACATTGTGCATTCAGTAGGCTCGGAATTATTTTATGATTTGTTTATTGAACTAACGTTTGTTTGATTCTATAATTTTCTGATTTTTGAACACAAAAATACCAACATGGTGCATACTGTTGCCGGAGATAATTTTTCTGCCGGAATTTCACCAGAAGAAGCAGCTAGAGATGGTGGAGGAGTGACCTAAATAATATCGATCTATTTTGACTTGAATATGCTCGTATGTTTGTGTCTGAAAGGAGTCAGGGGCTTATTAGTTTTTGGGCTGAAGATGTTTGGTCTTTATTCACTTGGGCTCAATATTATTTTTTGGACCTTCCAGAAGACACCTAAGAATTTATCCAGATTTATCCACTATAAATTCTTTATTTATATTTGTATTTATCTAATAGTCAGTTAGAAGGCAGCAAATTGTATAGGCACAGCTGTCATAGTTAGTTATCAGAAGATTCCTTCATTTTTGTATATATACACGAACTGTACAGAGAGTTATTCATTCACTACACAGAAAATTGAATCAATTCCTTCAGAATTCTTTTTCTTCTCCTTTAAACGTTTTCTTGGTATCAGAGCTTTAATCAAAGCAATCTGACTTATATTTTTTTATCAACAATGGTAGAAACTACTCTTCCGTCTGCTGTTAGCAGCACTTCCCAGATCACTCTTACTCCCGCTCAACAAATTGATTCTTGTCATCCCTATTTTTTAACTTCTTCTGATAATCCTGGAATTAACCTTATCAACATAAGCTTTGATGGATCTAGTTATGCAAACTGGCGTAGAGGAGTTCTTATTTCCCTTTCGGCTAAGAACAAATTGGGGTTCATCAATGGTACTTGTCGATGCCCATCTGTTGATTCTCCTCTCTTTGAGCTATGGAAAAGATCCAATGACATGGTCATTGCATGGCTTCTCAGCTCACTCAGCAAGGATATTGGAGAAAGTGTGATTTATTCACAAACTGCTGAAGAGTTATGGAATGAGCTCGAGCAGAGGTATGGTCAAGCTGATGGCACAAAATTATTCCAACTGCAAAGAGAATTAAACAGCATCAGCCAAGGATCTAGTGATGTGGCGGGATACTTCACTAAGCTTAAAAGAATTTGGGATCAAATGAAGGTGCTTAATACCTTCATGATATGCAACTGTGACTGCAAGTGTGGTGCAAAAACACACAATGTAAGATGAATTGAAAACCGAAAAACTGATCCAATTGCTCTGATGGGGTTGGAGGATGATGGCTGTATACTAGCTGTTAAGGGGAAATATTTTTGATGATGAAGCCTCTTCCTAGCACTGCCCTCAGGCATACTCATTATTCTCCTTCTACCAAGAGAAACAAAGGGGGTACACTCTAGACTTACATTCCATTTTCTGGATTCTTCTGCTTTTATGACATCAAAATCTCTATATAAGGTGTATTGGTCGAGTGTCGAGTACAAGCCGTAGGATGAGCTAGGTCCGGGCACTTGCTCTGGCGGTACCGCCTAACGCAGGGGACTGCGCGAGGGTGCGCTAGTATTTTTATTTGCGGTGCTGGAGTAGGGCGGGTAATGTGCATGCCTGACGAACGACGGGGATGGTCGGCTAGGTGTGGAGCGAGAGTGTGGGTGCTAGGTGGGACAGAAAATGGACCAGCCACGAAAGGAACTCAGGAGACTACAAAGTACATAATTCTAATACACCTTCTAGTTGGAGAAAAAAGGAGTGAGATTTATTTGCAAGTACTACGTAAAAAAAAATCTAGGCATATCATAAGAAAGTGCTAACAACTAGTGGGATATCCCTCAAAATTTCAAGTTCACCAACCAAAGAGGGGGGCAACTTTGGCAATCAACAAGCACATCACAAGCAACAGTTGGAATGCAACTTACCACAGTTGGCAGGAGATAATGGCTATCAACTCTTGTTAGCAAGCCAAGGACTTACTAAAGGAGCAAGTACGCGCTGTGTGACCAGCTATCATTCAGCATGTTCCAGTCTGTTCAGGGAGCGTCGCCTTCTTTTTTCGAGTCCTCTTGTTACAGCTTAACCCTAGCTGGTATACATCAATGCTTGCTTTGTTTTCACTTCTTTTTCTGTTCTAAACTCACCAATGGTTCCTTGGATTTCTGACACTGGTGCTAACACAGCCATCATTGATAAGTCTTTGTTGCGCATGGCAATAAGAGCAACTTTCTTTTCCTCTCTTAGTCAATCTTGGCTAACTCATCCAAGTAGTTTATTCTATAGGCAGCCTAACACTTGTTCACCTGAATTAAAATTGGATCATGTATTTATGTTCCTGCATTCTTAAAGATAATTTGTATCAGTAAATAAGCTTGTTCATCAAATTACCTTTTGATATT